ATTAAGGTAATCCTATACTCTTTTGCGAATTACTTATATTTAAAGCAACGACGTGCTTTACGTATAGCAGCCTTACGTAGGTTACGTATAACAGCCTTACGTAGGTTACATGTGGCAGCCTTACGTAGGTTACGTGTGGCAGCCTTACGTAGGTTACGGGTGGCAGCCTAGCTGCCTTACGTGTGACAGCCTTACGTGCGTTACGTATGGCAGAATTAATGGCGGTGGCTGAATTAGGCTTAGCTGTTGTACATGAATTAAACGGGCCGACTCGTTCCGAAAAAAGTTCAATGGATTGACATGGAATAAAAGTCTTGGCACGCTCAGAAATCTTGCCAGATCCGTATAGAATAGTCTCACGTGACTGGATGACTAACCACTACCACAACTACTGGAATTTATCTTGGGTCACCGTAGGTGACAATAAGCAAATTCAGTTTTAGCTTAGCTAATTACTGCTTTGGTCAAGGAAATTCTTTGACTTTTGTATACCGTGATTGCGTAAGCTACGCGAAAAGGCAGCTGCCGACGATTGCAAAGCTTGTTATCGTAATAAAAGTCTTAATCTACGGTAAATATTAAGAACTATTTAATATTTTCGAAAGTAAAACTAATATAATCCTCGATCTTTATTATAATGCTTTATAGCAGTTCTTTACGTGGTTTAGCTTTTGCTTTTTAAAAGATATCTTTAACTATTCTTATAGACCTATTGACTATTCTTATTTCTATTTAGAGATTTTGATTCAATATCACTTTAGCTTTAATACATATATTAATGCTTTGCTTTAAGCTTTCAGCTTCTTTCTAATTAGCGTTATAAGCTTTCGCGCTGCTCGTTTTCTTTGACTTAAGTCTTAAGATAAGCGCGTCCAGCTTTTTTAGCTGCTCGTAATTGTATTTTTTAACTTCTGCGTTCGTAAAGTAAATACGAAAGGCATTTTTAAAAGAATCTTTATCAGCCGGCCGGATATTTATTTTAATTCGAAATATAAAGAGTTCTTAGCTATTTACCGAAAGGTTATCTTTTCGAAGTTTTAAAAAAGCTTTGCGGAAATTAATAGCTTTTAAAGACTCGCTTTTTTAACGCATAATAACCTTAAATCGAATAGTTTTATTAAATAATCGATAAAAAGACTAATCGATCTTTTATTCCGGCGAAAGGTTATAAGTTATAAATAAAGATTTCCTTTCAATTAGCGGTAACTAATAAAAATCACTACAAAAGTAAATACTCAGACTTCTAAATAGCTTTTAAGATTTAAAGAAAATCTAAGCATAGCGCTTTTAAATTCGAGCGAAGTCTTTTAAATTAATTATTGACTTTTCATTAATGATTAAATACTTGCAATCTTTGAATTTCGCTTAAAAGGTTTAAAAGGTAATAAGAGAATTGTCTATAGAATAGTGTTTAATTAATAGCGTTAATAATAAATGTAATATAGCTCTTGCGATGCTAAAAGCAGCAACACTTGTAAGCGCTGCTCGGATGATTAGATTAAGCTTGCTAGCTTTATCCGTCATATCTTAAAGCCGGACGCAAGTAGCTAAAATAAAATAGGTTTTGCTCGTATCAGCCTTGCCGTCGAGATGAATTAATAATTGTGAAAGAGTCTAGTTTAGTAATATTATAATATAGTAGTCTATTATAAAATAGTAAAACCTCTTTTGTTCATCGGAAAGCTTTTCAAGGTCATAACTTCGAGTAGCGCTAACCCGCATGTTAGATATTCTTGTAGCAGCTTTTTAATTTCGAATATAAGTAAATAAAATATTATGTTTGCTAATATATGAATCTTAATTATAAGCAAGATCTTTAAGCCGGTTCGATATATCGTTTTCGTTTATAAGCATAATACGAAGGTTCCGAAAGTTGCGCAAATTTTATTTTTCTTTTGCGTTAATATTATTACGGTCTCGAAGCTCAAAGCTTTTTATATCGTATTCATCGTTTGAACTAGCTTTATCTTCTTCGTTAGCTATAGAAAGAGGATCGTAGTAATCGAGCATATACAAAGAATCGCTATAAAGATCTCGATAAAAGCGCTTGCAAGCGTTATAAGCTAAAGCGAATGTCGGATGCTCTTCTTCGATAATATTAATAAGTAAGTCGTCTTCTTTTCGATAAAGATAATGCAGCATTAAGTAAGTGCGTGCGTTATGCTTATAATTGTTATAAACCTTAATATTTAAGTATTAAAAGAAGTAATTAATGATTTAAAGCTTACTTTTTCGTAAAAAATTCTTTTTTTTGCAAGTGTATATATCGTAAACTTTAAAAAAGTTTAAAAAAATAACCTTTTCGATTCGCTCGAAGCGTTATCGGTACCGCTAAAGGTTAAAGAGTTTAAGTTCTAATCTATACTTATTTAATTCTACTTAGTACTTTTTGTTTTCATCTAATCGGCAATTTAAATTAATAAAGTTTCAAGTGGATTTAATCAAATTGATCTTAAAAAGCAAGTGACAAACCTCCTAAGCGCTATAATCCCTTTCTCTTAGCAGCTTATTAAGCATCTTAAAGACTAGCGAAAAGGCTAAAGCCTTAGCATTAATGTGTTCTAGCATTATATTAACAATATCTTTATAAAAGTCGGATTCTTTTTTATACTTAAAGCAATACTTAAAAGCGTACTTTAAAAGACCTTTGAAGCTAGATACAAGCTATATATCCGTGTTAGCTAACTAGCTTAATATAAAAACAAGTGAAAAAAGGTTTTGTAAAAGATGATTGCGCTAAACGGCAAACTAATACCTTTAAAGATTTATTTTCCGATTGTAATCAACTGTCGGCTGCCTAAAGCGCTTATAATAGAATTTGCAAAAGAGAACTTTTATATCTTTGTTTTTACGTAAATAATATTTAATTAAATAAACGTAATAGATTTGCATTCGATTAATTAACGTAATAAATTGATCGATTGTATTCTTAATTATATTAAAAAGTAAAGAGATCGGGTTTTGCAGATCTAATAATCGAATCGCATTAAAGTTATAAGCGGTAATATAATCCTCTTAAAAGCTAACGAAGTCTAGAATACGAAAGTAATTATCTTTCTTAAAATTTATACTAAGTCTAAGCTCGTTCGTATCGTTCGGTTTGCTTTTTAACTAAAATATACCGTGAATATAGCTCGAGCTACGATCTTGCCACTCTTATCGCGCTTAAAAATCAATATATAGCAAATAATAACTTAAGATATCTTGTAAAAAAGCTTGCTAACAGATATATATATAATAAGCAATAATAGCCGGGTTCTCTTAAACATTTTTGTTGGATTGCTTCCAAGCGATTGGGAATATATTCGTAAAGTCGTAACGGTCGTCGAAGTACTTGCAATTGCAAAACACTCGGTTGATAAAGTATCTGAATTCTGTCTACCCCCTAAGGCTCAAGGGAGATGACTCCTTCTATATCATTAGAAGGAATCACGTGCACTAGCTAGCTAATAGGTTTACTTGTCAAGTTGAGGGTCCTTTGACTGCTAACATGCTAAGCGAGGCATGCTAAGTGGCTCGTGAACCATAGTTCACGAGTAAGCTTCCCCAACTATTACTATTACTATTACTAGCTAGCTAAAGTCGATATAAAGATACCGACACCGGCAACTCTTTCTTTAGCAAGCAGTGCCTTGCCAATTATTATATCGACCGAAAAAGAAGGAAAGTAATCAAACAAAAGAAAATCAATCTCACTCTACCAAACCTCACTCTTTCTTCTTTTACAGCGGCCTTTCCATCCATCCGTCTACTTGCACCTTCAAGGTATTGGTCAAAACTAGCTCTTGCAAAAAAGTATTAGCTCCGACTTTAGTCATAGCGTCAGCAAGGTTAGATTTTCCTTCGATCTAGCGTACCTTAAAGAGCTCTCGCCTTTCGTATGACTCTCGAATAGCTATAATATCGATCATGAAGCGCTTCTCTTTAATAGTTTCTAGCTTTATTATACACTCGTAAAGCGAGTAAAAGTCAGTGCACATAACTACGAGGAAATTCGAGATCCTTAGCTAAGCTATAATTTAAGTAAAAGTAATCGACATAGCAATAGCTATATCGATACTTAAAGACATAGCGTATAGCTCAAAGGCTAGTATTACCTTTATCACCTTTTTGCACTTTTGTAACACTTAATAAAGGATGTTATCCGTTAAAGTAAACTCGTTCTTATCTACGTAAGCCTTATTGCTAAAGATAGCTACGAAACCGATTTAAGAGCTAAGGTTAGCGTTGTTAGCAAACGCTCCGTCTACGAACACAAAGAGCTTCGCTGTCTTTAAGTTTAAAAGCACGTAATAA